GACATGTTTTCAATACTGATAACTGTAGTTTGTCTTTTTGCTTAAGTTCTGCAATAATAAGCGAGCACGTATTCGACAGATAAATAGCTACAAGCTTCTCCTTATTCTAAAAAATTCTACTGTGAACTTGAAAGACCTCACACACTCAATAGACATGGCATAATCTATTGTATAACTATAACTTAGAACTGAAATTATCTCCACTGCAGCACATAAGGATCTCCAAACTTGTTAATTTGCTATGGAAGGAAAAAGTAGTGGTCTTTCTTTTTTACAACTAATTTGCTTCAGTTTCCTGACATTATTGCTAAATGTACAATTCTGACACAAAGATTAAAAAAAAAGAGGACAGCAAAAAAACTCAATGATTGTTCTAAACCTATCTTCCTCTTCTTTCTATTGTTCATATAAATCCTTGTTCTTCCTTTTGATTTTCGTGTGAGTCAATTTAGATATATTATAGACCCATTGCCCTTTATTTTATATATTTCAGAAAAGACAAGGCAGCATTCTGATTTCACAGATAAAATGCCAAGCTCCTTGGGGCCAGCAGATGACATAATGGTTACATCGCTGCACTCCCATGTAGTCAACCATGGTTTGAGTCTCAGATCTGACAGCTTAAAACTAATGCCAGTGTGTCTGTGCATGCCCAAAGTCCTGAGAGGAGATTGGAGAAGGGATTGTGGCATGGCCATCACCCCCCACCCCAGGGGGTGGTTTCTTGCTTTCTGTCTTTCTATATCTCTCTGTCTCTCTGGAGAGCACACGAACCTTATAACAAAAACCTCTCCAAAAAAAAAAAAAAATACAGGGACCAGCAGTTAGTGTAATGGCTATGTCGCTGGACTCCCATGTAGTTGACCGCAGTTCACGTCCCAGACCCGGTGGCTTAAAACTCATGCTGAGGGACCAGCAGTTAGTGTAATGGCTATGTCGCTGGACTCCCACGAAGTCGACCATGATTTGAGTCCCAAACCGGTGGCTTAAACTCATGCTGGGCGCTTATGCGTGTGTGCCCAAGATCCCGAGAGAAGAATGGAGGAGAAGGGATTGCAGCGTGGCCATCCCCCCAGGGGCTGATTTCTCGCTTTCTATCTCTCTGTCTCTCTCTGGTGAGCACATGTGCCCTATAGCAAAAAACCAAACAAACAAACAAAACTCATGCCGAGCGAATATGCGTGCATGCCCAAGATCCTGAGATGAGAATGGAGGAGAAGGGATTGTGGCATGACCTTCCCCCCTGGGGGGGAATTATTTCTTGCTTTCTGTCTCTCTGTCTGTCTGTCTGGCGAGTGCACACGCTCTATAGTGAAAACTTCTCAAAAAAAAATAAAAAGCTCCTTAAATTGAAATATAAGAATATTTCGGTGAATTCCATATGATTCTAACATTATATATATTTGTTTCACATTATAAAATGAATTTCCTATGGTTATATATTGCATGATATATTTTTATAGTAAGACACATAAAGTGCCTAGAGTAAGAGTACAGTTGTGCAAGAGATGTATCTTTTATTGCCCAGTCAAAGAAACAATTAGAGATTATTTACCAAAGACCATGCTCTTGAAGACTAGGCTGGAAAGTGTCTAAAAGCATTAGACTATTTAACAATACTACTTATTTTATTTGTGTCTTAAATATTAAATTGAAGTGTTTTAGTTTGCTACTCTTTAGAGTTTTATTAAACATATGTAAAATGTAATTATCTTTGTTCTAAAATGTAAGTTTTTTAATCTCTTCTCCATTTCTTAGTAGAAAAAAATCTTTTATTGATTCACTACAGCCTTTCAAAAAGATGACACAAACTATTTCTTTATAGTTTTGGCCCTTGAAAATTTTCTTTTAAGATATGCAGTGAAATCATAAGGTCATAAGAATATTTCATGGGACCAGCAGATGGTACAATGGTGTCATCTCTTGTCTCTCTCGTAGTCGAGCACAGTTTGAGTCCTAGCAGTTTAAAACTCAGGCCAGGTCTGTGTGTGTGTGCATGCCCAAAATCTCAAGAGAAGAATGGAGGATAAGGGATTACAGCATGGCCATTCCCCCCTGGGGAGTGATTTCTCATTTTCTGTCTCTCTGTCTCTATCTGTCTAGCAAGTACATGCGCCCTATAGCAAAAATCTCTCTACAAAAGAAAAAAAAAGAATATTTAGCAATGGCCTTGTCAACCTGCTTAACATGGTCTCTCAAAGTGGGTATTTTGACTCTAGAGAATAATTACTTAGTAAAAGTGCCCATTTTTCAGAACCATGGGGTAATTGTTTTATATTTACCCTCATACATTCCTCCCTATATAAACAAATTGTAAAAAGTAGTGATCTTTCTTCTTTACCATTAATTTGCTTCAGTTTTCTAACATTATTGCTAAAAAAATTGACAATAATAAGACACTGCATAAGAGTAGAATGATAAATATAGATTTAAGACTCAAAACATAATTGTATTAGATTTATGTGGTTGGTATGCTTAATGCATCCCTCATAGTTTATACTGTGAATGAGATATTTTAAAAATATACAAAAACAACCTTGATGGTTATTTTAAAAGACTATGGGACTAAACAAAGTATTTCAATATTTATAGCTATTCATAAATATTAAGTAGAGTAACTGAGAATTTCCCATTATATAGTAGCTTTTGAGCTATATGCATGAAATCTTAATTTCCAAATACCATTCCCAACTATTGCAAAAGCTGCAGTTTTTCTTGCTAACAGATCACATGAAACTATAATTTAGACTGAGACTTCAGTTGATACATCTTTTATTTGTATTTACTTTCTTAGGAAACAAAAAGAATTACAGGAATAGAGAACTTATATACCAATATATTTGTTATCTAAAGGTCCTTATGATGAATATATTGTCATTAAAAGATCATACTTGCTGGGGCCAGCAGGTGGCATGGTGGTTTAAACACTGGACTCCTACATGGCTGACTGTGGTTTGAGTCCCCAACCCAGTGGCTTGAAACAGGCCAGACACATGTGCATGTGTGCCCAAACTCCTGAGAGGAGAATGGAGGAGAAGAAACTGTGACATAGCCATGTCCCCTAATGGGATGATTTCTCACTTTTGGTCTCTCTGTCTCTCTCTGTCCCTCCAGTGAGCACACGTGCCCTTTAGCAAAATCTCTCTCTCTCAAAAAAAGGAAACAAAAATCACACCTCCTAATAGAGTGACAAATATACTTTAGGCCATTCATACACTTAGCTCATTCCATACATCCCAAACAGCACATGAAGCTATCTTATTTAATAATGAGAATACAATGAAATTTTGTAAAAAATGTTGTCTTCGAAAGATCTGAGTTTTGTAGAAATTTTGACTTGGATGTTTTCTACTATTGGTTTCCAAACTGTATAACCCTATAGTCCAGCTATAAATAAACATTTTTTTTTTTGCATTTCAAAAAATTTATGTTTAATCACTGTACATCTTTACAGTGTATAATATGTTTTTTCAGCAAGAATACAGTGCATATTAGTCAAGTCAAAGGTATTACCTTATCATTAATAGTTAACTTTTTGTTTTCATGTTTATTTAATTTTTTTCCCTGATCTTCTCCCTTTCACCCTGTTACCCACTCCAATTACCCATCCCCTCCAATACTGTCTCCAGTATCTACAGTTGCCCTCCCTACTATTATACGTTCCAATCTTTCAGTTTCTGCTGTAGAGTGCAGACATTCGGTATATATTAAACAGAGATACACAATGCCTATCTTTCGTATTAGATGTCAGGGCCTCATTGTTTGTTTTATGACTGAGTAGTATTCTATAGGGCACATGTGCCATATTTTTCCAATCTACTCATCTGCTCTTGGACATTTGCGATGATTCCATGTTCTAGCAATTCTGAATAATGCTGCAATAAACATGGGAGTGCAAATATTTTTCCAGCTGAGTGTATTTCTATCCTTTGGGTAGATATCAAGGAGCGGAATTACTGGGTCATGTGGTAGTTCTACCTATAGATTTCTGAGGAAGCTCTGTATTGTTCTCCATGGTGATTGTACTAATTTATATTCCCACCAGCAATGTAGGAAAACTCCCTTTCACCACAGCCTCTCCAGCACTTATTATTTTTTTAAACCTTAGTCAATCTGACCAGAGTTAAGTGGTATCTCATTGTTATTTTTATTTGCATTTCCTTTATGGTAAGAGATATTAAGCATTTTTCCATATGCTTTTTGGCTGTTCATATGTCTTCATTGGAGAATTGTCTGTTCAGCTCATTTGTCCATTTTTTAATTGGATTTCTTTTTGTGGGTAAGCTGCTTGAATTACTGCATATTCTGTTATCAGTACCTTATCTGAGGCATAGTTCGCAAATATATTCACCTAGTTGGAGGGTTGTTTCCTCATTCTAATTGTTTCTTTTGCTGTGCAGAAGCTTTTTAGCTTGATGTACTGCCACTGGTCTATTTGGGGGAATATTATTTGTGCTTTTTATCTAAGAAGTCTTTGCCTACTCCAGTGTCTCCAAGAGTTTTCTACCAGTAGTTTTATATCGCGTTGTCGGAAAAGTCATGATGCATTTTTCTAAGCAGACATTAGTTATGATTTTCCAATGACTCAATAGTTTGAGGTTTTATGCTTAGATCTTTGATCCATTTTGAGATGATTTTTGTTAATGGTGAGAGATGGAGGTCTAGTTCATTTTTGTTTTTTCTTCTGCAGGTGAACACTCAGTTTTTCCACCCCATTTACTGAAGAAATTTTCTTTTCCCCACTGTATTGTTTTGTATCCTTTGTCAGAAATCAGTTGTCTATATATTTTGGGGGATTATTTCTGGATTGTTTACTCTGTTCTTTTGGTCTACCTGCCTGTATTTGTGCCAATACTATGCTGTTTTGATTGTCACAGCTTTGTAATATATTTTGAAGTCTGGAGGTGAGATGCCTTCCACTTTATTCTTCCCTCACAGTATTGCTTTGCTGATATGGGGCTTTTTATTTTTCCAGACAAATTTAACAGTTGTTATTTTTTTCTATTTCTGTGAGGTATCTCTGGTAGTTTGATTGTAATTGCATTGAACTTTTAAGATTAATTTGGGGTAGGATTGATATTTTCAATTAGCAATAATCGCGCCTCGGATAAACCTCATTGGCTACGATACTGCCACTGCGCAAAGTTGGCAGGGATTGATATTTCGATAATATTTATTCTTCCAATACAAGAACATGGATGTCTTTTCAGTTTTTTTGTATCATTTTCAATTTCTTTTAACAATTTTTTTTTGTAGTTTTGCTTGTGGAGGTCTTTGACTTCTTTGGGTTAGGATTATTCTTAGGAATATTTTTTGTGGTATTGTACATGGAATGCATTCTTCAATTCTGTCTCCGTTTGTTCACTATTAGTGTATAAAAATGCTATAGATTTTCTTCGTGTTGATATTGTAACCTGCCACTTTATTGTATTCATTTATTACTCCCAGGAGTTCTTTTTTTTGTGTGGATTTTCTATATATAAAATCATACCATCTGCGAATAGAGATAATTTCACTTTTTCTGTTCCTGTTTTAATACCTTTTAGTTTCTTGTCTGATTTTATTGGTTTGGACTTCCAGTTTTATGAGACAGAGTGTAGAAAGTGAGCAGACAGTTTTTAGTGGAAAAGCTTTCAGCTTTTCTCTTTTCAGTATGACGTTAGCTGTAGGTTTGCACAGACACTTTTATTGTGTTGAGGAACGTCCCTTCTATGCTAGTTTTGCTAAGACTCTTAATCATGAAGGGATATTTTATTTTATCAAATGCTTTTTCTGTATTGATATGATTATATGGTTTTTATCTTTCCTTCTGTTAATGTGATGTATTATATTTATTGTTTTGTGTATATTGAGTCACCCTTGCATCCATGGAATAAATCCTACCTGGATATGGTGTAAAGACTTGTTAATATGTTGTTGGCTATTATTTGCTAATAGCTTGTTGAGAACTTCTGCATTTGTATTTATCAGGGATTTTGGTCTATGGTTTTCTTTTTTTGTTATGTCCTTGTCTGTTTTGGAGATCATGGTGATGGGGTCATTGTAGAATAAATTTGGGAGAGTTTATTCCTTTGGGATCTTTAGGAATACTGTGAGAAAAAATGAGGTTAATTCTTTAAAAGTTTTGTTGAATTCAAAAGAGAAGTCATTGGAACCTGGGTTTTTCTTCATTGGGAGATTCTATCTCATTACTTATTATTGGTCTAGTTGGGCTTTCTATTTCTCCCTGATTCAGTGTTATAAAGTATATGTGTCCATAAATTTATCCATCTAACCTAGATTTGCTTGTCTGATGGTGTATCATTGCTTATTGTATTCTCTCATGATCTTTTGTATTTCTGTTATGTCTGTCAGAATCACACGTATTTTGATGCTGATTTGATTTTTCTGGTTCTTTTCTCTGTTCTTCTTGATTAGTCTAGCTAATGGTGTGTCAATTTTGTTTATCTTCTCAAAGAACCAGCTCTTAGTTTCTTTCAGTTTCTGTGTAGTTCTTTTATTCTCTATTTCATTTATTTCTGCTCAAATCTTCATTATTTATTTTCTTCTGGTATTATTTTTTTTCCTTCTTTTTTTCTTTACTTTTTTGTTGTTGTTTTTGTTTTTCTAGTTCCCGGAGATGTGTTTATTTGCCACTTTTCTATTTTTGTTAGATTGTTTATTTGCCACCTTTCTATTTTTTTCTTACAGGCACTAATTGCTATGAATTTCCCTCTAAGACTGCTTTTTCTGTGTCCCATAGGCTAATAAAACTCATTTGTTCATTATTGTTTCCATGAATTGCTTAGTTGAGAGATATTTTCCTATTTTTCCTATATGTACTCACTGGAGAGATAGAGAGATTCAAAGAGACAGAAAGTGAAAAATCATCCTTCAGGGAGGATGGCCATGCCACAATCCCTTCTCCTCCTTTTTCCTCTTAGGATCTTGGGTGTGCGTGCACACACACACACACACACACACACACACACACCTAGCATGATTTATAAGCTGTTGAGTCTAGGATTTGAACCATGGTTGACTTTGTGGGAGTCCAGCAATGTAACCATTACACCATCTGCTGGTCCCTCCATGAATCTTTGATTTTGGTCTTAATTTTTTCAGTGGTCGTGAAGTTTTAGGAGTAGATTGTTTAGTTTCACTGTGTTTGTGTATTTGCAAGGGTTCTTTTTGTAGCCGATATCAAGTTTGATTCCATCAGGGTCAGAAAAGAGCTAGATATCATTTCTGTGCATTTGATTTGTAAAGACTTGTTTCGTGCCCTGTTATGTGGTTGATCTTCAGAAATATTCCATGTTGGGGTGAGAAAAATGTGTAATTTTTGGTTGTTCTATAGATATATGTCAAGTCTATTTGATTTATAACATCAATTAGATCTTATGTCTGTTTATTTCTTGTCTAGATCTGTCCAGAAGAGGCAATGGAGTATTGAGATCCACAATGATCATTTTGTTACAGTATATCTCTCCCTTTAGATCTAGCAATCTCTCTTACATATATTTAGGTACCCCAGTATTGGGTGCATAGATAATTATAAGTATTAAATCTTTTTGGTGACCTTTTGGTACTAGATAGTATCACTTATTTTTGTCTCAAAGTCTATTTTGTCTGCTATCAATGTCATGACTCCAGCCTTTTTTTTGTTTCTATTCATATGGAGTATTTTCAGCCTTTCACCTTAGTTTATTTATGTCTTTATCAGTGAAGTGTGTTTCTTATAAGTAGCTTATAGAGGGATACTGTTTGGAGAATTTATTAACATTCATCATTACTAGTAATATTTGTTAATCATTTTCTTGGTTATTTCTGTTCTATTATTTCTGTCCATCTCTCTTTAGTTTTTCTGATAAAGTACTACCCTCAGTATTTCTTAAAGAGTTGGTGTAGAGTTGGTGAATTCTTTTATTAATTTATTTTTTATTCTTAGAATGATTTGTTCTTCACATTTGAAGGTTAATTTGTTTTTTAATCTTAGAATGATTTGTTCTTCACATTTGAAGGATAATTTTTCTTCAAATGTGAAGGATAAATTAAGGTATAGTATTTTGGGTTTGATTTTTTTCCCATCTTTTTAATGTCTCCCCATTCTTTCCTTGCTTGATTTGTTTCAGTTGAGAGGACTGATGTTAGTCTGATAGGATAATCTTTGTAAGTAACTTGATGTTTCTCTCTTGGCATTTTTAGAATGTTGTCTTTGTCTTTGATTTTTACCAACCTTGCTATGATATGCTGTTGGGATGATCTCCTAATATTGATTCTACTTGGAGTTCTTTTTATTTGTTGGATCTGTATTTCTCCATGTTTCTCTGGATTTAGAGCTTTCAGAGTATTTCATGGAAAAAATTTTCCATGTCTTTACCATGTTCTTTACTTTCTAGAATACCTATTTTGTCGATATTGGGGTGTTTAATGGTGTCTCAAATTTCCCTGTTATCCTCATTTTTTGTTTATGTTTTTAATTCTTTTTGGTGGTTTGGTTATGTTAGAGACTTTGTCTTCAAGGTTAGAAATTCATTCTACTGTATGGTGCGATCTACTATTAATCTTTTTTAGTGAGATTTTTTTATTTTTTATATTGTATTTTTTTATATCCAGAAGTTCTGTTTGATTCTTTTTAAGAGTATCTCTCTCTTTACGGAATTACTCTTTCATAACCTGGAGTGATATTCTTCTTTCCTGGAATTGACTGTTTTCTCTTGCATCTCATTGAGTTTTGTCACAATTAATGATCAGGATTCTCTTTCTGACATTTTCGAATTATTTTGTGTTGTCTATTGCTGGTGAAGAGTTATTGTGTTTCCTAAGAGCAGTGTTATTTCCTTTTGTGTGTGTGTGTTTCTTCTGTCTCGGCAGTGGTTTTGGTCATTTGATGCAGCATTCACTTCTTCAAATTTACTGGAGTAGATTCTGTAGTGTTGGAGGAAGGAAGAACAGCCCTCAATCTAGATGGGTTCCTGGTAGGAAGCTGTCTTCCAGATAAGAGCAGGTTAAAGTTTATGTAGGGGGACCAGCAGTTAGCATAATGGCTATGTTGCTGGACTCCCACGTAGTCGACCGGGTTCTTGTTCTTGACCCAGTGGCTTAAAACTCATGCCAGGCGTGTGTGTGTGCGTACCCAAGATCCCAAGAGGAGAATGGAGGAGAAGGGATTGTGGCATGGCCATCTCCCCTGGGGGGTGATTTCTCGCTTTCTCTCTCTCTCTCTCTCTGTCTGGTGAGTGCATGTGCCTTATAACAACAACAACAACAAAAACCAACCAAACAAAAAACCCCACAAAAACAAAAACAAAAAAACACAAAAAACAAACAAACAAAAACTCTACCAAAAAAAAAAAAGTTTATGTAGGTAGCATCAGAGGATTGGGTGCTCTACCAACCTTCAGCTCTTGATGTGTTGCGGATGAGCTAAAGATATATGACTTACTGAGGTGAATCAAGTTACACCAAAGGGACTGAAGTGTCCCAGATTCTGAAGACAAGCCTGTAGGGACTGGGATTCACCAAACAAGACTGCCTTGCACCAGAATTCAGCTTCTCTGCAGGCAGGGCTGAAAAAGGTGGGTGGTCTTGTGGTGGTGGTGGGGAGAGGGGGTCAGAAGTATGAAAGCAAGCCTGTGAGGATTGAGAGCCACTTAACAAGACATTGACTTGCACCATAACCATAAATAAAAATTTTGGGACATGGGGAACCAGCAGTTAGCGTAATGGCTATGTCGCTGGACTCCCATGTAGTCAACCACGGTTCGCGTCCCGGACCCAGAGGCTTAAAACTCACGCCGGGCGCATGTACGTGCGTGCCCAAGATCCTGAGGAGAATGGAGGAGAAAGGATTGTGGTGTGACCATCCCCCCTGGGGGGTGATTTCTCGCTTTCTGTCTCTATGTCTTTCTCTGTCTGTCTGGCGAGCGCACGCGCCCTATAGCAAAAACCTCTCCAAAAAAAAAAAAATTTTGGGGGGGACATGAACTCCACATTTTTTCATGTTGCCTGCAATTAGGTATGACTGCATTTATCTGAAAAAATAAGTAATACTGGCTTAAGCAATGTAGAAGTTCTTTTGTTTGCTTCTTTGTTTGTTTTTGTTGTTGATGTTGTTTTTGAGAGGTTTTTGCTATAGGGCACGTGTGCTTACCAGAGAGACAGAAAG